ACCTTAACTTTGACTGAAACAACATCTCACTCCATGGTTTCTCCTGCTTCACCTCCAACACATCCATCTTCACTACAACAAACTTAACTCTAAGCTGCGCAATTGTGCAGTGCTTTTAGGGTCTCAGCGCACACACAACTCTTTCCTGCGCACACACAACTCTTTCCTGCGCACACACAACTCTTTCCTGCGCACACACAACTCTTTCCTGCGCACACACAACTCTTTCCTGCGCACACACAACTCTTTCCTGCGCACACAATGAAAATCCAGCGTCCTGCCTCCAGCACAAACGACGTGGGCGCATTTTTCAACAGTGTATGGCCCACGGTGGATCTGCGCAGGCTTCATTCTCTAAAAGAAAAAAGAAAAAGTCAGAGCTCATGGTACCTCATAGTCACTGAGTTGTTTTGCAATCTGGAAGTGTGGCCACTTTGCTTGTTTACATTGAGCCAGTGTGACCTTCTAATGCAGGTGGTTCGAGGAGTCTGGAGACACAACCCCAAAATTCACACCCTACACACACACATACACCCTACATACACACACATACACACACACTCACATTTACATATAGATACATGAAAAAGCAGAACATGAGAACAAGCATTTTAAAAGTTTACTCCAATGTAAACAAATATTTTTAATTGTCTATGTGAAGGTTCGTTTAAAAATGATGGGAATAATGATGGCTCAGACGGGAAAATAAATTGTGGTGGTTTTATTTACACACCAAAACAGTGAAACATATTTACAGTGCAGGAAAAAAAACAACAGACTCACAAGAAAAGACAGGACTTACAGCCAGCTCAGTTTGGGTTCAATTTCAGTACAGCTCACTCCAGCTCACTCACAGACTGACAGAACAACCCTCTCAGGAGTGAGTACGCACTCTTTTTAACTGGTTAGCCCCGCCCCTGGGCTAACCCATTATAAATTAACAGGGGTTTTTCTTCTAAACAGAAAAACAAAGGAATCCCACACATAGTTCCCTCCCTGTTCCTCAGTGTGAACATGCCTCTCCATTGCCCCATATAGCAATGCACAAACAATAGAAGACACACATTTTAATACTTTTAAGAATTAGAGTCCTCTGGCCCACCACAAGCGCGCGCCCTGCGCTATATATGGTGCGACCAGGAAGTGCCTCGGTTTGGCCAGTGGACCGAGACAAGCAGCAGGTGAGTTGTGTATGGGGGAAGATGAGATGTGTGTGTAGGCAGCAAGTGTGCACCCTTATGCGCTACAGGGATAGTATTGGCAGGGGAAGAGTTTGTGTTGATGCAGGGCCGTGCGGTGACTAGCGCGGACCTGTCGGCATGCCGCGCCACACGCACGCTCAGACGCGCTCCTCTCTTCAGCGCAGGGAGAGAGCAGCACACAGCTGTTGACGGAGCAGTCACTGGCGCTCCGTCAGTCTATCACTTGAATCTTTATTTGAATCAGTATTTTTGAGACCAGAAATGTTCATTTGAGTTCTATATTGTCATGGACTTAATTGACGTCTGTCCTGACACTTTTGATTTGTAGACTTTGTACTGTGTGAAGTAATTACATTGATTCTGATAAAAACACAAATTAGAGAAGTAAACTGCGCTTGCTTTTGTCTGAGGGACATTAGCAACAGCGTGAATAGAAATAGTCTTTAAAGTAGAATCAAAATGACTTAACCATAGAGAGTAACTATTGCATAACAAGCTGTGTACAGGAACTGAGACACTGCACCATTGACCAGAAGTGCATCGCAAATGACCTGATGTGCTTCAAGTGAAAAGACTGTATCTGGAGATCCTGATGTGTATCTGGAGAGACCAGAACCATGGCTTGGACCCTACTGATGTCCAAGATGACATCTCTCTATGACCTGACCTGATGACGACTGAGACTCACCCTCAGGGGACCCTGAGGACCTGAGGACCTGAGAACCTGAGGATCTGAGGACCTGAGGACCCTGAGGACCCTGAGGACCTGAGGACCTGAGGACCCTGAGGACCCTGAGGACCCTGAGGACCCTGAGGACCTGAGGACCTGAGGACCTGAGGACCTGAGGATCTGAAGACCTGAGGATCTGAAGACCTGAGGACCCTGAGGACCCTGAGGACCTGAGGACCCTGAGGACCTGAGGATCTGAGGATCTGAGGACCTGAGGACCTGAGGACCTTTCGGTGTTCAGTTTTATTCCTTAGAATGTAGAATAGACATAGAACAAAATCCCATTAACAATAATCCACTGATAATGAAAGTAAACCACAGAGAGATTTATTAGATTAAAATATATGTTTAAGAATATGGCTCAATGAAAATATGCAAATATATTTGTAAATAGGGTTCCAGAAAAGATTAGAATAGTTTTAAACTATAGTGAATAGTAAAAGTAAAGTACACAGTCTAAGATTGATAAGTGAAAATAATACAGTGAATTAAGTGAAGTGTAAACAATCATCATTAGAATAAAAGTATAGAGTAAGAAAAGTGAAATAAGCTTCTAATTGAGACTCAGTTCGTTTTTGTCTGTGTTTTGACTGAATCTGCGAAGTTCTACTGTGTCCAATAGTGTTTGTTTGTTTTTAATTTTTAATTTGTTTTTGTTTACATTTTTTGTTTGTTTATTTATTTACTTTTTTAATTTATTTTTTTCAGGATAGATGATAAAATCCACTGATATTGATTTGGATGATTATGAGTTTAATGCATACATTTTCTTTGTTTTTTAATAATTTTTTTAAGGTTTTTTTTTTTTTTTTTTTTTTTTACTTTATTGATTGATCAAATTGAGTGATCACATGTGATTATGTGATCAAAGGGGTGAGTGTTAGTATTAGATAGCAATATGGCCTACGTGCAGGACTCTACAAGGACTCTGATTATTATGACTCTGATGTGACTGTCTCTGTGTGACACGTCTTTCCATGTGTGACGTGACAATGACTATATAAACTGTACTGCCTTTAACAATGACTATATAAACTGTGTACTGACTTTAACAATGACTATATAAACTGTGCTGCCTTTAACAATGACTATATAAACTGTGTACTGACTTTAACAATGACTATATAAACTGTGTACTGCCTTTAACAATGACTATATAAACTGTGTACTGACTTTAACAATGACTATATAAACTGTGTACTGACTTTAACAATGACTATATAAACTGTGTACTGCCTTTAACAATGACTATATAAACTGTGTACTGACTTTAACAATGACTATATAAACTGTGTACTGACTTTAACAATGACTATATAAACTGTGTACTGCCTTTAACAATGACTATATAAACTGTGTACTGACTTTAACAATGACTATATAAACTGTGTACTGCCTTTAACAATGACTATATAAACTGTGTACTGCCTTTAACAATGACTATATAAACTGTGTACTGACTTTAACAATGACTATATAAACTGTGTACTGACTTTAACAATGACTATATAAACTGTGTACTGCCTTTAACAATGACTATATAAACTGTACTGACTTTAACAATGACTATATAAACTGTGTACTGACTTTAACAATGACTATATAAACTGTACTGCCTTTAACACTGACTATATAAACTGTGTACTGACTTTAACAATGACCATATAAACTGTACTGCCTTTAACACTGACTATATAAACTGTGTACTGACTTTAACAATGACTATATAAACTGTGTACTGCCTTTAACAATGACTATATAAACTGTGTACTGCCTTTAACAATGACTATATAAACTGTACTGCCTTTAACAATGACTATATAAACTGTACTGCCTTTAACAATGACTATATAAACTGTAATGCCTTTAACAATTACTATATAAACTGTGTACTGCCTTTAACAATGACTATATAAACTGTGTACTGCCTTTAACAATGACTATATAAACTGTGTACTGCCTTTAACAATGACTATATAAACTGTGTACTGCCTTTAACAATGACTATATAAACTGTGTACTGCCTTTAACAATGACTATATAAACTGTGTACTGACTTTAACAATGACTATATAAACTGTACTGCCTTTAACAATGACTATATAAACTGTGTACTGCCTTTAACAATGACTATATAAACTGTGTACTGCCTTTAACAATGACTATATAAACTGTGTACTGCCTTTAACAATGACTATATAAACTGTGTACTGCCTTTAACAATGACTATATAAACTGTGTACTGACTTTAACAATGACTATATAAACTGTGTACTGACTTTAACAATGACTATATAAACTGTGTACTGACTTTAACAATGACTATATAAACTGTGTACTGCCTTTAACAATGACTATATAAACTGTGTACTGCCTTTAACAATGACTATATAAACTGTGTACTGACTTTAACAATGACTATATAAACTGTGTACTGACTTTAACAATGACTATATAAACTATGTACTGCCTTTAACAATGACTATATAAACTGTGTACTGCCTTTAACAATGACTATATAAACTGTACTGCCTTTATTCTGTCTGAGAGAAAGAAACAAAGGAAACCACTGGAACTTGAGAGAAACTTAAATAAACTTCCAGAGTTTGGCGCACCACGATCCGTCTCTGTCTGCTTCATCCCTGACACCGTATCTGTTCAGGTGCAGACCGTCTGGACGATCTGCACCCGATTGTGGCGGATAAACCCGCCACAAAGTGATTCAAATCTCTGCCTGAAGAAAACAATGCAAAATGTTTTGCAAAATGAAAAAACCTCTTCACCTGCTGTGAGTTTGGACTTTAAACTGTTAGTGCAAAGTTAGTGTTGTTTTTTCATTAGAGAGAAAGAGTGTGTTTCTGTCTCTGTCTGTGTGTGTTTGTGTGTGTGTGTGTGTGGTTGTTATTGTTGTATATTTATCAGCTGTATTTGTGTACTCCCTCCTGGCCCCGCCCCTTGAGGCAACATGTGTCATAAAAGTTGATTGACAGGAACTGTTTCAGTCAAACAAAGAAAATACAGAGCAGAGCCTTTAATGCTGTCACAGGTCAGAGGTCACAGGTCACAGGTCAGACGGTGAACAGCAGGTGACCACTGAACGTGTTGAAGTGATTAGTGTTGTCGTAAATACGATAGCTGCTCCAGAGAACCGCATAAACCACATCTCCCGCCTCCAGCAGCACAGACATGGAGTTGGACGCGGAGCCGTTCCCTGAAGAGTCGTACTCGTTAGCTATAACCATCTTAGATCCATTCTTCACCAGAGAAACTCTTGAAGAGTAACTTCCAAAGTCTTCAAAAATATGAAGATGGAAGTGGTACACTCCTCTGACTGGGGCTGTGAAGATCCCTGCAGCAGACACACAACAATACACACAACTTTAACACAATACACACATTACACACAACAATGCACACATTACACAACATTAAACACAACATACACACAACTTTAACACAATACACACAACAATACACACATTACATACAACATTACACACAACAATACACACACAACATTACACACAACTTTAACACAATACACACATTACACACACACATTACACACACATTACACACACACATTACACACAAATACACATAACATACACATAACAATACACACAACAATACACACAACATACACACAGATACACATAAATACACACAACAATACACACAACAAATACACATAACAATACACACAACAATACACACAACATACACACAAGATACACATAACAATACACACAACAATACACACAACAATACACACAATAATACACATAAACAATACACACAACAATACACACAACATACACACAACATACACATAACATACACACAACAATACACACAACATACACACAACATACACACAACAATACACATAACAATACACACAACAATACACATAACAATACACACACACACACGATTACACACACACACACACACACATTACACACACATTACACACACACACATTACACACAACATCACACACAACAATACACACATTACACAAATTACACACAACATTACACAATATTACACACAACATACACACATTACACAACAATACACAAAACAATACACACAACATTACACACAAAATTACACACAACAGTACACACACAATACACACAAAATTACACACAATATACACACAACAATACACACTACACAACAATACACAACATTACACACAATATACACACAACAATACACCCAAAATACTCACAACATTACACACAACATTACACACAACATTACACACATGACACACAACATACACACAACAGTACACACAGTACACACAACACTACACACCTGTGTGTGGGTTGTAGGCGTTCCCAGTGTTGGTGACCACATGTTTGTAGACCAGTGTAGTGTCAGTGCTATAAGGACCAAACCACTGACCTCCTCCAGACTCTACCAGAGCTGTAGAGAAGGCCACCTGCCTCACTGCAACAGAGGAACCAGAGGTGGAACCAGAGGTGGAACCAGAGGTGGAACCAGAGGTGGAACCAGAGGTGGAACCAGAGGTGGAACCAGAGGTGGGGGAACCAGAGGTGGAACCAGAGGTGGAACCAGAGGTGGAACCAGAGGTGGAACCAGAGGTGGGGGAACCAGAGGTGGGGGAACCAGAGGTGGGGGAACCAGAGGTGGAACCAGAGGTGGAACCAGGGTTGGAACCAGAGGTGGAACCAGAGGTGAAACTGAACTGAACAGTCTGAATAAAAACATTACTATGACATCATTATAAACATTACTATGACATCATTATAAATATTACTATGACATCATTATAAATATTACTATGACATCATTATAAATATTACTATGACATCATTATAAACATTACTATGACATCATTATAAACATTACTATGACATCATTATAAATATTACTATGACATCATTATAAATATTACTATGACATCATTATAAATATTACTATGACATCATTATAAATATAAATATTATATAATTATAAAAAGCAGGAGAATAATAAAATCATTCTTTTAGTGTTTTTTGTCTGTTTATATTTGTAAAGTTCAAATCACAAACTAGGATTGTTGATTTGGAAAAGAAGATTAAAAAATTAAACCAATCTATTGTTTTTTCTCTTTCTCTCCTCTCTTTCTCTCTTTTCTTCTCTCTCCTCTCTCTCTCTTCTCTCTCTCCTCCTCTCTCTCCTCTCTCTCCTCTCTCTCTCTCTCTCTCTCTCCTCTCTCTCTCCTCTCTCTCCTCTCTCTCTCCTCTCTCTCCTCTCTCTCTCTCCTCTCTCTCTCCTCTCTCTCCTCTCTCTCTCCTCTCTCTCCTCTCTCTCTCCTCTCTCTCTCCTCTCTCTCCTCTCTCTCTCCTCTCTCTCCCCTCTCTCTCTCCTCTCTCTCTCCTCTCTCTCTCTCCTCTCTCTCTCCTCTCTCTCCTTTCCCAAAGCAGCATATATAGATAAAGTGTTCTTGGATGTCGGACTGTGAGGACAAGGCCTACGTTCTAACACACTAAAGTAAAGTAAAGGAGACTAAAGTAAAGTAAAGGAGACTAAAGTAAAGGAGGCTAAAGTAAAGGAGACTAAAGTAAAGGAGACTAAAGTAAAGGAGACTAAAGTAAAGGAGACTAAAGTAAAGGAGACTAAAGTAAAGGAGACTAAAGTAAAGGAGGCTAAAGTAAAGGAGACTAAAGTAAAGGAGACTAAAGTAAAGGAGACTAAAGTAAAGGAGACTAAAGTAAAGGAGACTAAAGTAAAGCAGACTAAAGTAAAGGAGGCTAAAGTAAAGGAGACTAAAGTAAAGGAGACTAAAGGAGACTAAAGTAAAGGAGACTAAAGTAAAGGAGACTAAAGTAAAGGAGACTAAAGTAAAGGAGACTAAAGTAAAGGAGACTAAAGCAGACTAAAGGAGACTAAAGGAGACTAAAAGAGACTATCGATCCATTGATCCATTTTGTTCTGCTTCATCCGTTGCTAGATTGCGGGGGTCGGAGTCTAGGTAGAGACAGCCAGACTTAACTATCCACACACACTTCCTCCAGCTCGTCCGGGGGGACCCCAAGGCGTTCCCAGGCCAGCTGAGAGACATAGTCCCTCCAGCGTGTCCTGGGCCTTCCCCGGGGCCTACTCCCGGTGGGACGTGCCCGGAACACCTCCCCAGGGAGGCATCCAGGAGGCATCCGGAACAGATGCCCGAGCCACCTCAACTGGTTCCTCTCGAGAAGCAGCGGCTCTACTCCGAGCTCCTCCCGTGTGACTGAGCTTCTCACCCTATTTCTAAGGGACCGCCCAGCCCTACAACGTCCGCAAACAGCAGAGATGAAATCCTGTGGTCTCTAAACCGGGCCCCCTCCGGCCCCTGGCTGTGCTTAGAAATTCTGTCCATAAAAACAGTGAACAGAACCGGTGAAAAAGCGCAGCCTTGGCGGAGGCTAACATGCACCGGGAACAGGTCTGACTTACTGTCATTGATGCAAACACAGCTCTGACTCCGGTCATACAGGGACCGGACGGCCCTTAGCAGAGGACCCCGTATTCCCAGAGAACCCCCCAAAGGACACCCCGGGGAACACGGTCGAACGCCTTCTCCAAATCCACAAAGCACATGTGGACAGGTTGGGCGAACTCCCATGAACCTTCGAGTATCCGATGGAGAGTATAGAGCTGGTCCAGTGTTCCGCGGCCGGGACAAAAACCACACTGCTCCTCCTGAATCCGAGATTCGAACATTGGTCGTAGTCTTCTCTCCAGTACTGATATTGGAATGTAACTTAAGTTATCATTTTGGTAAATGATATGAGGCTATGTGCTGAACGCTCTGTAATGTAATTCACTTTAGCTCCAGGAAGACACCGGGAGGTCTGGGGAGCTCATATGTTAAACAGCAGAGGAAGCAGTCTTTGTATACGCTAATTCGGAGTGTCTTTTGTTGTGTTGGTTTCTTCCTTTCCTATTCTGCATACGAAGGTGTGTCTTGTTCTACCAAAAGGGGTTTGCAGACTGTGAATCTAGAGACTTGTCCTGAGAGAGGCTAGGGTCTGTGCCTTGCCTCTGTCAAGACATTCTCCTTGTACAATGTAACAAGTAAAAGATTAACTTTGTCTCTTTGTTGTGTGAGATTTCATCAGGTTCAACTTTAGTTGAAACAGCATTATCAAGTACCTTGGAGTAGACATTACCAGGGAGGCTGAGGAGTGTGATCCCACAATAATTGGAACACACCCTCCGGTCCCCCTTCTTGTAGAGAGAGACCACCATCCCAGTCTGCCACTCCATTGGCACCGCCCCCGATCGCTGGACGGCTTGCCAGAATTTCTTCGAAGCCGACCGATAGTCCTGCTCCATGGACTCTCCGAACTCCTCCCAGTCCTGGGTTTTTGCCTCTGCAACGGCCCGGGCAGTGGCACGCTTGGCCTGCCGGTACTGGACAGCTGCCTCAGGAGTCCCACGAACCATCATGGCTCGATAGGACTCTTTCTTCAGCCTGACGGCATCCCCTACTACCGGTGTCCACCAGCTACGAGCCGCCGCATCGGCGATAGAGGAAGAGAACATGGTCTACTCAGATTCAATGCCCCTCTCCTCCGCCGGGACCTGGGAGAAGCTCTCCCGGAGGTGTGAGTTGAAAGTCCGTCTGACAGGGGGCTCAGCGAGATGTTCCCAGCAGACCCTCACTACACGCCTGGGTCTGCCAGGTCTGACCGGCTTCCTCCCCTGCAGCGGATCCAACTCACGACCAGGTGGTGATCCGTTGACAGCTCCGCCCCTCTCTTCAGCTCCGCCCCTCTCTTCAGCTCCGCCCCTCTCTTCACCCGAGTGTCCAAGACACGCGGACGAAGGTCAGATGATCGAAGTCAATCATCGACTTTGTTGTCTAACTAAAGTAAAGGAGACTAAAATAAAGGAGACTAAAGTAAAGGAAACTAAAGCAGACTAAAGCAGACTAAAGCAGACTAAAGCAGACTAAAGCAGACTAAAGGATGTGTTTGTACCTGTTTTGTCGTGAGTCAGAGCTTCCACTTTGTGTTCAGTGACAGAGGAGCTGGTCTGCAGACGCTCCAGTGCAGCCTCTTGAGCTGATTCCACACAGACAGAGTTAGAGCCAACGCCTCCAGGTCTGAGCAACACTTTTATATCAACAAACCTTTGTCGTTGTTTTGGAGGGAGTCCACTTCTGTTTGGAGGGAGACCACTTCTGTTTGGAGGGAGTCCACTTCTGTTTGGAGGGAGACCACTTCTGTTTGGAGGGAGACCACTTCTGTTTGGAGGGAGACCACTTCTGTTTGGAGGGAGACCACTTCTGTTTGGAGGGAGACTACTTCTGTTTGGAGGGAGACCACTTCTGTCCTCGTGGCTGAAGAGGAAATAAAACTGTCAGAGCTGAAAAGCACAGTCTGTGTCTTTAATCATGTCAAAGTGCAATGGCACATCTGACAGGTGCAGGCTCCGCACACAGCTCTGTCAACTTCAAAAGGAAGAAAAACAACTCTTGCACACTTTACTTGCAAACACCAGTCATTTTTTTTCTTATTTTCATCTGTAAATAAAATGAACACTGGTGTCTGCAAGTTGGGGCCGGGACTCCCCTGAAAATGACATTCTGAAATCTCTGAGACTTTCCTGGTTAAATAAAGGTCCATGTTTAAACATGGAACACAAACACAACTTATCCATGGCTGCATTAAACTATGTTCAACACATGATTCAGAAGATACTTACCCTGGTTCTCCAGCAGCAGATGTTTGTTCTCCTCCTGCAGATGTCTGATCCCCTCCTGCAGATGTCTGATCTCCACCTGCTGTGCAGACAGAGCAGCGCTCATCTGTCTCAGCACTGACTCAATGTCAGACGGACAGAGCTCAGAAGACTCAGACTTTTGTCCAGAATCATCCAAACAATTCCCCTCAAAGAGAAAAGAGGAACTCAGCAGCAGCACCAGGAAACCAGCCGTGCCCATGGTCCACTAGAGGAGTGAGATCTGTGGAGGTCTGTGGAGGTCTGTGGAGGTCTGTGGAGGTCTGTGGAGGTCTGTGGAGGTCTGTGGAGGTCTGTGGAGGAGTGAGGAGGAGTGTGGAGCTGCAGCTGGTTTTAACCTCTCTGACTGCTCACGGCCGAGGACACTGTTGTGATAAGAAGGTTTTATCTCATTTACATTTCTACATCAGAACAGATGTTATTTATCCACCGTTCACACAGGTTTATGTAACACTTACTACACACAACACTTACTACACACGACACTTGCTACACACAACACTTACTGCACACAACACTTACTACACACAACACTTACTGCACACGACACTTGCTACACACGACACTTGCTACACACGACACTTGTTACACACAGCACTTATTACACACAACACTTGCTACACACGACACTTGTTACACACAACACTTACTACACACAACACTTGCTACACACGACACTTGCTACACACGACACTTGCTACACACGACACTTGCTACACACGACACTTGTTACACACAGCACTTATTACACACAACACTTGCTACACACGACACTTGTTACACACAACACTTACTACACACAACACTTGCTACACACGACACTTGCTACACACAACACTTGCTACACACGACACTTGCTACACACAACACTTGTTACACACAGCACTTATTACACACAACACTTATTATACACAACACTTTGTAACCTGCATAAAGTGAACCGCTGTGATTCTAGGATTCTTCAGGAGGAAGGGAGGCTTAATAATTTTAGACCACAAATGTTTAGTATGAAAAGTTAACAAAAGCCGCCATTTATTTCTGAAACACAAATGTACCTTAAAAAAAAGTTTACCCCTATGTAATGTGTATCAGTCCCTTTGGATTAACAAAAAACATAAAGTTCAGAGCTCTGAAGAAAATAGTTTTCATCTACCTGGGTAGTTTGATTTAGGGCGTCGTCCTTCTCTGGATCAGGTGGATGAACGGAGATGGAAGGGCGTCGTCCTTCTCTGGATCAGGTGGATGAACGGAGATGGAAGGGCGTCGTCCTTCTCTGGATCAGGTGGATGAACGGAGATGGAAGGGCGTCGTCCTTCTCTGGATCAGGTGGATGAACGGAGATGGAAGGGCGTCATCCTTCTCTGGATCAGGTGGATGAACGGAGATGGAAGGGCGTCGTCCTTCTCTGGATCAGGTGGATGAACGGAGATGGAAGGGCGTCGTCCTTCTCTGGATCAGGTGGATGAACGGAGATGGAAGGGCGTCGTCCTTCTCTGGATCAGGTGGATGAACGGAGATGGAAGGGCACGTCCTTCTCTGGATCAGGTGGATGAACGGAGATGGAAGGGCGTCATCCTTCTCTGGATCAGGTGGATGAACGGAGATGGAAGGGCGTCGTCCTTCTCTGGATCAGGTGGATGAACAGAGATGGAAGGGCGTCGTCCTTCTCTGGATCAGGTGGATGAACGGAGATGGAAGGGCACGTCCTTCTCTGGATCAGGTGGATGAACAGAGATGGTAGGGCGTCGTCCTTCTCTGGATCAGGTGGATGAACGGAGATGGAAGGGCGTCGTCCTTCTCTGGATCAGGTGGATGAACGGAGATGGAAGGGCGTCGTCCTTCTCTGGATCAGGTGGATGAACGGAGATGGAAGGGCGTCGTCCTTCTCTGGATCAGGTGGATGAACGGAGATGGTAGGGCGTCGTCCTTCTCTGGATCCAGCGACAGACGTTGCCAACTCCCTGACAATGGCCAAACACCAAACAGTCCTCAGGTCTTAAAAAACCAACCTGCATAAGCAGGATAACATTAATATAATTCTCTCATAGTTGATATTTATATAGATGAGTTTTATCTAATCTCCAACTACAACTAATCACATCCTGACTTTACATTCAAATGGAACATTAACATTGTACATTGTAATGTAAAACCTTCTTATAATCAATGTTTCTGTAAATACTTCTCATCTATGTATAGTTTCACATTTTCTCTGATTGTTTTTTAAAGAAATAATCACGATGTCATGTCAAAAGAAAAGTGTCTTGAACTAACGTATCTGTTTCCTAAGTCGGACACTTCGGGCTGCACCGGTTACCCACTTCAACGGGCTATAAAAACATAAACTTTACTATTTCGCGAACGTTACTAGCATAAAACGGAAGTTAAAAGTGTTAGCTTTCGAACTATATATATGAAGAATACCTTATTTAACTGTGGTTTTCTATATGCTGTTGAAAAGACCAAAAACATCGATGTTTTGGCTAACTGGAACTATTATCCTGAGTCGGACTCCTCAGTTCCAGAGTTTGTACAGATTCCTTCCGAATAGATCCATGGTTCCATCGCTCTCTCACGGCTCCGCGGCACTGGCGCATACAGTAGGTCCCATTCCGTTTTGTCGCCTTTCACGCGTGAATCACACGAGACTCACGTGTGATTCACGCGTCTTTTATTTTCCCCCCTCCCAGTGACGTTGCAATGACCAAAACAACCACCAGGTGGCACTTGTGAGCAGGGTTACATTGGCGAGTTTCTGCCCCGCGCACATCGACAATCTGGTTAAAACGGGCAACTCCTTGTAGCAGGCCAGTCTCTGGAATAACCCGCAGACATTAAAACTACTGCATATAACGTAAACTTTTGCATCACGTTGGTGATCTTTCCAAAAAGAGAGAATATCGTTATGGAAAGAGAAACTATTGGTAATATAACGCTGAACGTTATTTGACTCAAACAGCTCCGCTGGTGTCTCCTCCCACTCAGAAAAAAAGCAGACGCCTTTTCTCTGGCATCTCTAACATTTATAATAAATACATAAATATAACAAGAGTAGAGTAGCTTTTGATTAGTATTTATTATTTATTATTGCTTTTTAGTACATCTATTTATGTTTTTAGACACATTCTATTTGTATTTATTTTTATCATTTACTATTTTTAATTATTTATTGTATCTACCCATTTACTATTGTTATTATCAATATTAGGCAGCTGCCATTTTTCTTTTTATTGTCACATTTTATTGTTAAATATACAATATATAATGGAAACACTTATTTCGATATAGCGGAGGAAGCCGAGCTTTATTCAGTGAGTTTTGGCTGCGCTTCGTGTGGAGACTTGGGAGATACGTGGGAGAGGCATGGGGGAGAGACGGGGGAGAGACGGGGAAGAGACGGGGAAGAGACGGGGGAGAGACGGGGGAGAGGCATGGGGGAGAGGCATGGGGGAGAGACGGGGGAGAGGCATGGGGGAGAGACGGGGGAGAGACGGGGGAGAGACGGGGAAGAGACGGGGGAGAGACGGGGGAGAGGCATGGGGGAGAGGCATGGGGGAGAGACGGGGGAGAGACGGGGGAGAGGCATGGGGGAGAGACGGGGGAGACAGGCAAGACCCGTGTCTATGGTTCCGTGCGCGCGTCTATGGTCCGCGCTCGGTACATGACCACGCGCGTTCGCGGAGCTGTCAAAGCAGCCACAGTTTCTCCCGGGGTCAGAGGTCAGAGAGGATGAGAGCCGCAGCAGAAGTCAAGACATTAATATATCTCACGTAAATCAAAGTGTTGTTTACTTCTGTTGCCATGTTGACGTACTAGAAACTAGTGAATAAACGCGCGAAAATAGTGTATACTTATTCGAATATGTCTTAATGGAAACGGCTGCTTTTGCGAATTACAGGTTTTTCGAATTTTGAAATGTATCGAAAAAGTTTTTGCGCATTATTCAATGGAAACGCAGCTACAGAGAACATGCCAATTCCACACAGAAAAGCCCTGTCCCGACCGGGATTCGAACCCAGGACCTTCGTGTCAAGAAGCGAGAGTGCTATCCACTCAGCCACCGTGCCGCACACATGGGGAGTGGTTTTGAATGTTGGACAGGACTCTAGATCGAGCTAATATGGGTGTGAGAGGAATAGTCTTCATAGCCGATGTTATTAGCCCTGCAGAGTGTTCAGGTAGGTCTAGTGAAGGTGGGGATGGAAAACAAAGGGAAGTGTCCCCATTCTCTCTTGATGGAGTGGACGTGGCAGGGGGGACCCAAGACAGGTCCATGGGAGGGGGCGAGGGAGTCTTTGATGGAGGGGCAGGTGGTTGAGGAAACCCCAGCACAGGCCTGTCTGCTGTAGCCTGGGGTGAGGATGGGGGCTTCAGAGGCGCTGTAGATGAAGAAGGCGTGGCTGCTTTGGAGCAGGCTGGGGATGAGGATGTTGGTGGTGGTCGTGCTGCTGGTGCTGCTACTGGTGATGATGCAGCTGCTGCTGGTGATGATGCAGCTGCTGCTGGTGATGATGCAGCTGCTTCTGATGACAGTGGAGGTGTTGAGATCCTTTGAGGCGGTGATGGTGTTGAGATCCTTCGAGGCGGTGGTGGTGTTGAGATCCTTCGAGGCAGTGGAGGTGTTGAGATCCTTCGAGGCAGTGGAGGTGTTGAGATCCTTCAAGGCAGTGGAGGGGTTGAGATCCTTCGAGGCAGTGGAGGGGTTGAGATCCTTCGAGGTGGAGGAGGTGCAGAGACTTTTGGAGTTGGTGGAGATGTTTGTGTTGTTGTCGGAAAGGCACTTAGCTTCTTTTTCCCTTTTGATGGCTGCACGCGCTGCGCAGGCTGAGGTCTCAGGGCAAAAGTAAATAAGTAAGTAATGTTTATTTTAGGGCCGGGACTTTAACGCGTTAATTACGATTAGTAAACGCCACAAAATTAGCGCGTAAAAAAAAATTGACGCATTTTAATCGCATGTGTATTTTCCACCGCGGAACGTTCCTCGCGAATGAGTTTCAGACGAACCGATTATACTGGAGCGCCCCCTGAGGTCCGTGACTTTTTTTGTTCTAAAGTACATTATAACAAGCATAGACCAACTCTAACTCTGAGTGAGTTAGAGGCAGAAAAGAGCGCTCTGTGTGGAGCAATGGTGTGTGAGGAGGAAGAGAAGGAGCAGCGAGACACAGGTGTGTGAGCTGCTATTTGCTGATGTTTTAGTTCAGGGGTGCTCAATACGTCGATTGCGATCTACCAGTCAATCGCAAAGGTAGTATTGGAAGATCGCATTACATAAAAAAAATAATCTGTTTATGAAAATCCGTGTGGACAGAGATAACCGGAGTTTTGGGTTTTTGCACGCCACAGTATGCCCCCAAAACAACAACAACAAACAAAACGTGCGACCTCTGTTCACTGAAGCAGGGATCATACTGCCTTAAAAACTGTTCTCTGCTGCAGCGGTTCACTAGCCTGGCTCCAGCCAACCTTTAGCCCCGCCTCCATGGAATTTCAGCGGGCAGGTCGGTCTGGCATTCCTCAATTGAAAAACTATTATGCCCTGGACGAAACATCCCGGGCCAATCAGAGTATTTAATAAGGTGATTGGCAGGTGAGCAACAGAAATGTAAATCGTCATCAAAGCGCGCTTGGCTACCATGTCGGATAATAACACGGGGCTAATATGAGACGGGTTAGCCCCATGGATCTTAGCCCTAGTTATACTACACTGAGTTGCGCACAGCCCATGGATCTATGACAGCCCTGCCTTGTTGCCGAACTCGCCCGTGTCCCTGCTGTTAGCGCTCACGGATAACGTTTGTTCATCTTCTGTCGGGGTAAGTTTTATCTGTTTGTGTTAAGAGTTCATTGAGCAATCCGCGTTTGAAGATGGTGTTGTTGTTACCACACGTTCGGACTGTTTGGACGGTCTGTTGACTCTCCAATTGTAGATGGTTCTGGACTTTAGATCAGAGCCAAAGCCTGCACGAACCCTGCAGGTACAATAACGTTAGCCTCAACTGTAACATGAGCCTGTCCTTCATATGTATTATACTGTATTATGACGCATCATAGAGTAAACAGAAGGCTTAAATGGTGAAACAAAACGAATCATTTGCAAAAGCAATACAAGTTATATTTCACGTTTAAGAGCGAAATGCGTTTGCCTCAATCTACTGTATGTGCAGTTATTCAGCACGACATGGACAAAGGTGTTACACAGGCTCCTGCTCAGGCTACACATCAACAACATGCATCTTGTATTACTTTATTGTACAATATTATAATGAGTAATTGTTAATGAATTATATCATTCTGAAGTTCACTTAAAATGAACAAAAACTCCACTCAGCTTTGAGCCCATGTTTAAGTAAATCAATATTACTGATATTTGTATATAATTGTTTTCATATGTATAAAACATTCTTTGTCTAAAGAACAGGAAGGATATAAAGATTAAACTGTCTCTTTTGTTATTTAAAGGAACAAAGAAAAAAAGAGGTGGACATTATTCAGAACTAATGTTGGAGGAAAGGTATATAGTATGAATACACTAATTTATCTCCTCTGTACGGACAGGAGCCTCAGACATGTCCTCTGTACTGACAGGAGCCTCAGACATGTCCTCTGTACTGACAGGAGCCTCAGACATGTCCTCTGTACTGACAGGAGCCTCAGACATGTCCTCTGTACTGACAGGAGCCTCAGACATGTCCTCTGTACTGACAGGAGCCTCAGACATGTCCTCTGTACGGACAGGAACCTCAGACATGTCCTCTGTACTGACAGGAGCCTCAGACATGTCCTCTGTACGGACAGGAGCCTCAGACATGTCCTCTGTACTGACAGGAGCCTCAGACATGTCCTCTGTACGGACAGGAGCCTCAGACATGTCCTCTGTACTGACAGGGGCCTCAGACATGTCCTCTGTACTGACAGGAACCTCAGACATGTCCTCTGTACGGACAGGAGCCTCAGACATGTCCTCTGTACTGACAGGAGCCTCAGACATGTCCTCTGTACTGACAGGAGCCTCAGACATGTCCTCTGTACTGACAGGGGCCTCAGACATGTCCTCTGTACTGACAGGAGCCTCAGACATGTCCTCTGTACTGACAGGAGCCTCAGACATGTCCTCTGTACTGACAGGAGCCTCAAACATGTCCTCTGTACTGACAGGAGCCTCAGACATGTCCTCTGTACTGACAGGAGCCTCAGACATGTCCTCTGTACTGACAGGGGCCTCAGACATGTCCTCTGTACTGACAGGAACCTCAGACATGTCCTCTGTACTGACAGGAGCCTCAGACATGTCCTCTGTACGGACAGGAGCCTCAGACATGTCCTCTGTAATGACAGGAGCCTCAGACATGTCCTCTGTACTGACAGGAGCCTCAGACATGTCCTCTGTACTGACAGGAGCCTCAGACATGTCCTCTGTACGGACAGGAGCCTCAGACATGTCCTCTGTACTGACAGGAGCCTCAGACATGTCCTCTGTACTGACAGGAGCCTCAGACATGTCCTCTGTACTGACAGGAGCCTCAGACATGTCCTCTGTACGGACAGGAGCCTCAGACATGTCCTCTGTACTGACAGGAGCCTCAGACATGTCCTCTGTACTGACAGGAGCCTCAGACATGTCCTCTGTACTGACAGGAGCCTCAGACATGTCCTCTGTACGGACAGGAGCCTCAGACATGTCCTCTGTAATGACAGGAGCCTCAAACATGTCCTCTGTACTGACAGGAGCCTCAGACATGTCCTCTGTACTGACAGGAGCCTCAGACATGTCCTCTGTACTGACAGGAGCCTCAGACATGTCCTCTGTACTGACAGGAGCCTCAGACATGTCCTCTGTACGGACAGGAGCCTCAGACATGTCCTCTGTAATGACAGGAGCCTCAAACATGTCCTCTGTACTGACAGGAGCCTCAGACATGTCCTCTGTACTGACAGGAGCCTCAGACATGTCCTCTGTACTGACAGGAGCCTCAGACATGTCCTCTGTACTGACAGGAGCCTCAGACATGTCCTCTGTACTGACAGGAGCCTCAGACATGTCCTCTGTACTGACAGGAGCCTCAGACATGTCCTCTGTACTGACAGGAGCCTCAGACATGTCCTCTGTACGGACAGGAGCCTCAGACATGTCCTCTGTAATGACAGGAGCCTCAAACATGTCCTCTGTACTGACAGGAGCCTCAGACATGTCCTCTGTACTGACAGGAGCCTCAGACAATTCCTCTGTACTGACAGGAGCCTCAGACATGTCCTCTGTACTGACAGGAGCCTCAGACATGTCCTCTGTACTGACAGGAGCCTCAGACATGTCCTCTGTACTGACAGGAGCCTCAGACATGTCCTCTGTACGGACAGGAGCCTCAAACATGTCCTCTGTACTGACAGGAGCCTCAGACATGTCCTCTGTAATGACAGGAGCCTCAAACATGTCCTCTGTACTGACAGGAGCCTCAGACATGTCCTCTGTACTGACAGGAGCCTCAGACATGTCCTCTGTACTGACAGGAGCCTCAGACATGTCCTCTGTACTGACAGGAGCCTCAGACATGTCCTCTGTACGGACAGGAACCTCAGACATGTCCTCTGTACTGACAGGAGCCTCAGACATGTCCTCTGTACTGACAGGAGCCTCAGACATGTCCTCTGTAATGACAGGAGCCTCAGACATGTCCTCTGTACTGACAGGAGCCTCAGACATGTCCTCTGTACGGACAGGAACCTCAGACATGTCCTCTGTACGGACAGGGGCCTCAGACATGTCCTCTGTACTGACAGGAGCCTCAGACATGTCCTCTGTACGGACAGGAGCCTCAGACATGTCCTCTGTACTGACAGGAGCCTCAGACATGTCCTCTGTACGGACAGGAGCCTCAGACATGTCCTCTGTACTGACAGGAGCCTCAGACATGTCCTCTGTACTGACAGGAGCCTCAGACATGTCCTCTGTACGGACAGGAACCTCAGACATGTCCTCTGTACTGACAGGAGCCTCAGACATGTCCTCTGTACGGACAGGAGCCTCAGACATGTCCTCTGTACTGACAGGAACCTCAGACATGTCCTCTGTACTGACAGGAGCCTCAGACATGTCCTCTGTACTGACAGGAGCCTCAGACATGTCCTCTGTACTGACAGGAGCCTCAGACATGTCCTCTGTACTGACAGGAACCTCATACATGTCCTCTGTACTGACAGGAGCCTCAGACATGTCCTCTGTACTGACAGGAGCCTCAGACATGTCCTCTGTACGGACAGGAGCCTCAGACATGTCCTCTGTACGGACAGGAGGCTCAGACATGTCCTCTGTACGGATAGGGGCCTCAGACATGTCCTCTGTACGGACAGGAGCCTCAGACATGTCCTCTGTACTGACAGGAGCCTCAGACCTGCTGTGTCCCTCAGACCTGCTGTGTCCCTCAGACCTGCTGTGTCCCTCAGACCTGCTGTGTCCCTCAGACCTGCTGTGTCCCTCAGACCTGCTGTGTCCCTCAGACCTGCTGTGTCCCTCAGACCTGCTGTGTCCTCAGACCTGCTGTGTCCCTCAGACCTGCTGTGTCCTCAGACCTGCTGTGTCCCTCAGACCTGCTGTGTCCCTCAGACCTGCTGTGTCCCTCAGACCTGCTGTGTCCCTCAGACCTGCTGTGTCCCTCAGACCTGCTGTGTCCCTCAGACCTGCTGTGTCCCTCAGACCTGCTGTGTCCCTCAGACCTGCTGTGTCCCTCAGACCTGCTGTGTCCCTCAGACCTGCCCTGTCCAAGTCGCCTGGAGCCATAAAGCATATTTTCTGGTTTATTGTTTGGGTAGGAATGATTAATGGCAACATTTCATAGATTATTTGGCCATAATTAATGATTAGTTGTTTAGATTCAAAAGCTCAGTGAATATGGGATTTATTTATTTCCATTTGACCCAACTTTCAGAGACAACTGTTACACATTGGATTGTAAACACATATTCATTGCATTGTTATTTTTGAAAACTATTTATTTTTGAAAACTATAGAAAACTATTTATTGATTTGTACATGATTACAACTATTTCAAAAATGGACAACCATTAATTTCAATAATCAACTATTTTAGTAATCAATCATTAACAACTTCATATCCAAACTTTAGTGTTGTTAACAGACTAAATGCTTATACTAGGACACTAGAATGAAAACAATATACTAGATGAAGCATTTTTAAAGAGAAATCCATAAACATAAAAAAATTACACACGACACTTGTTACACACAACACTTGTTACACACAACACTTGTTACACACAACACTTGTTACACACAACACTTGTTACACACAACACTTGTTACACACAACACTTGTTACACACAACACTTGTTACAAACAACACTTGTTACACACAACACTTGTTACACACAACACTTGTTACACACAACACTTGTTACACACAACACTTGTTACACACAACACTTACAACACTTGTTACACACACTTGTTACACACAACACTTGTTACACACAACACTTGTTACACACAACACTTGTTACACACGACACTTATTACACACAACACTTGTTACACACAACACTTAAGGGTGTATATATTTTTGGTGGAGCAGATCCACGGTGGGATTTATGAACGTGTGAGATCCAGATCCGAGCACCTTCTGCTGTTCATAAATGCTGCGGTGAAAACTAGTGTATTTATGAAAGTCACGCCTGTAAATATTCAGAAACCGCTCGTTTCACGCCATGTTTTTACGACAACAGGAGGTCGGCCAAAAGACTGTTGGAAGCCTCAAAAAGCCTTTGCCACACACTCCTGAGTTTATTCATGTTTGTTTAAAAAATAAATATACGCTATATTATATATACACGTATTTTCCCTAGTGTCTAGACCCACTCCAGCTCTCATCTCTCTTCAACTTTAGAAGTAAAGAAATAAATAAATAAATGATGAATGAATGTTAACATCTGCGCCTCAGCGGTGGCTCTCATCATGAACCAGGTGAAGCGTCTGAGCGATCTCTGTGAGAGAGAAAAATGCGTATGAAAAGCTTTTGGAAAGTGTCCGTGATTTCACAGAGAATCTCTGGATCCAACGCGTCTCAATGGCACCACATTTGAGAAGTGATGCAGTGGGACCTGTCCTGGCACCTGCTGTGCACTTCCCAGCAGAGCTATACTTGTGCCTGTTCCAACAGATAAGCGCGTCGCCATCCTATCTATAAACTGGCTACATGCAGTTTACAGGGCAGGGGCGGAGACAGTTTTGAGCTAGATCAGCTGCGTTCATGGGGCTTTATGCACGACATTAAGGAAAAAACACATTGCTTTGCCAGAGGTGAATGAGGCAAAACATGTGCGTATCTACAGATTTACCGAGTTAGCAAGTCAAGTGTATTTGTATAGCACCTTTCACAGACCAGGATCACAAAGCGCTTCACATTTAAAAAACATACCAGAAGAAAATAATACACAAGTCAGATTTAAAATCAAAGTAACAGAAAAGGGTCCTCACATACATATATTAACGGACGTAGTCACGCCTATCTCCACCGTTCTAACTATCCATCCATCCATTTTCTACCCTTTAATCCATTTCTGGGTCAGGGGGGTGGCAATCAGAGATACCACCCAAGTCTCATAGCACCAGCCCCTCACTGACCCTCTGCAGGTGGTGAGTCCACAGGAGGGTGATGCTAACTAATGGGCCAAAAATTGGGCTTTCATGGAGTGATTCAAAATGGCCACGGGGGCTGGAAAATGTGAATGTCGGCGGGATCTCCATTCATTTAAACAAGTGACTTCAAAAATTCACAGCGACTAAACTAGAGTTTCCCTCAGCATTGACACACATGTGGGACGGAGTTTTGGGCCAAGAGCCAACTTTTGGTCCATCCTGTAAAGACGTTTTTGAGAGGTCTGCCAATGCTATATGTTAGCATAGGCTAAATCTTATTCTGGGTCCACCCCCACAGGCCCGGGGTGGTATTGCAGCATGTCAGCGCACGTCATTTTGGCCACTTTTGAGCCTGGACCCGCCCCCACTGGTCCTCATCATGAACTGTGATTCATTCGCAGTTTGAGTGTTTCCATTAGACATTTTCTGATATGCAAATTCAAATTTCGAAATGTAATTCTCAATGAAAACGCAGCTTATAATTTTTCCAGAGTGGGAACAGGTTTATTGTTGTCCAAATCTTGAATTTCATGTGTGTTTTGGCGTGTCGTGATGAAGGTTAACATGAGCGTACACATTTACACCACCTACTGACTCTGTGTATATTTTGTGCGTACCGTACGACCACGTCCAGATTGATAAATGCAGAAAAGTGTACATATCAATGAATTACAATAATACTGGTAGGTACAGTCTGAGCAGACTGGTCCCATATACGCAGACTCCAAGACCGGACGAAACCTGACCGGACAAACAACCTAACCAAATGCTAAATTGAAGAAGAGTGTTTTAAGCCTGGCCTTAAATGTAGAGACAGTGTCTGCTTCCTTAAGATGCGTGGGGAGCTGATTCCACAGTAAAGGAGCTTGGTAGCTAAATGCTCTGCCGCCGACAGTGTTGTGATTTGAAAAAATAGACTCCAAACACGGATCCAAGGAGTAACAAGTACATTTGATAAAACAAAAATCACTGGAGAAACAAAATGGGTCCAAAACAAGCTCCAGGAAATAGCACTGGGAAAGCTGGTCCTCCACCTGAGGAAAATACAAAAATAACGTGTTAAAATAAGTCCAAAAATAGTCTCTCAAAAAGTCAGACAAAATGCTTAGCTTCACCGCAGTCAAGGGACGAACTGGCACCGGCTGAGTGGATTTCCAGCAAACAAATATTCTCTGCAAAGTGGGCACTCACAGCAGGCACCTGCAATGGGGGAAGAGACTCACAGACACACAGGGGAGTGAAAGACAGGAGGAAGGAGGAGCACCAAAAACTGCCCTCATGACAGTGCTTTTTGAAACCTCAGGGACCACCAGACGTCTGGCGTTTTGTGAGCGCAGCGCTCGGCTTGGTTGATAAGACAGTCTTGAAGATAAGAGGGAGCCAAGCCATTTATGGCTTTGTATGCCAAAAGAATAATTTTAAACCCTATTCTGTACTCCACAGGAAGCCAGTGGAGGGATTTTGATTCACCAGAGTTATATGCTCCCTCCTTTTGGTACCCGTTAAGATCCATGCTGTTGTATTTTGAACAAGCTGGAATCTCTTCAAAGAGGTTTTAGGGCACACATCCCAGCCGCTTCACTCTCGGCTGCAAACCGTCCCAGTGCTGGTTCGTTGGAGCCAACAGGACAACATTGTTGGCAAACAGCAGAGATGAAATCCTGTGGTCTCCGAACCGGACCTCCTCCGGCCCCTGGCTGCGCCTAGAAATTCTGTTCATTAAGAAAGTGAACAGAACCGGTGACAAAGGGCAGCCCTGGCGGAGGCCAACATTCACCGGGAACAGGTCTGACTTACTGCTGATGCAAACACAGCTCTGGCATCAAAGCATCAATTGTTCCAAAGATGTATCTAAACACTGAGTGGTACACAAGTGTCCTGTTGGACAAAAAACATGTACTGTATCATAAGAAATTGTATCCGTTTTTACAAGTGATGCCCTCCCATTTTCCTTATGTAGAGAGTCTGCTGGGAAACATCTCAGGGTTCATAAAGGAAACAATCCAGTCATGGTGGTGTTTTCAATTTTGTGTACCAGAAAAAAGAGATGACATTTTGCAGCAGATAATATGGATGAATTCTAATATTGTAATAGATGGAAAGCCTTTCTTTTGGAAAAACATGTTTGAAAGAGGAATTATTTTTGTCAATGACATTATCAATGAGAATGGTAAGATCATGGAGTATGATGAATTTAGAATTATGTATGGTGATGTTTGTTCAAGCTTTTCCTTTAATCAACTAACTGGAGTTATTGGAAAAAAATGGAAACAAATAATTAACTATGGAACTACTAAACTATTAGTTTGTAAACCTCCAATAAGAAACTCAAGTTGGCAAAAAGGAATAAAAATAAATAAAAAAATATATAATTTTTATTTAATAAAGAAATCTCTGAAGGTTGCCCCATAAGTAAGTAAGTAAGTCATCTTTATTTATATACCGCCTTTTCACTACAGATCTGAGTCTCAAAGCGGTTTACAATTGTTAATTATGGGCATTTATCTCTCACTCCACACAGAGATGGGAGCGGGGCCAGTACAGGAGGCGCTGCTAGAACTATTGGACATATCTTTAGTGGTAGGGGAAACCGGAGTACCCGGAGGAAACCTACGCAGACACGGGGAGAACATGCAAACTCCACTCAGAAAGGCCCTGGTCCGACCGGGATTCGAACCCAGGACCTTCTTGCTGAGAGGCGAGAGTGCTATCCATTCAGCCACCGTACTTTTCCATATATAACACATATGGAAAATGGGAAGACTATTTTGACTGCCCGTTGCCGTGGGATACAATATTTAAATTAATCTACAAAACTACTATCGATGTGCAGAATCGTTATTTTCAAATCAAAATCTTATATAATTTCTTACCCACCGGAAAAATGTTAAAATTATGGAATATGACTGAGTCAGATGATTGCCGTTTTTGTTGTCAGGAGTCTGAATCCACACTGCATTTGTTTTGGTACTGTCATATTGTGTCTTTGTTTTGGGTAGAAGTTGAAAAAATGTGTTTAAGGATCGGTTCGTTTATGAAGCTTGATGTGATTTCTGTTATATTAGGAGATTTTATTGACAGTCACGATTTAGTTAATTTAATTATTGTACTCGGTAAAAGATTTAT